AAACTGGCACTGGGCTCTAGGTTAATAGGTTAGTCTATAAAACATCCAAAACAGATAGTATAGTAGCATGGAACAATAAAAAATTATAGATACGTTGAAAACGTATCACTGCGCTTTCACTAACATACCAAGGTTAGAACATCAACATGGAGACAATGCGCTCGGCAATGTAACGGCACAAATTCACCGCTATTGAGTATGACAAATGAAGCCCTGCACAAGAGTTTTCACCGCGGACATGAAGCAATGCTCCAAGCATCATTTTGCACACGGATCTTTCAAAAATTGCACCAACATGTACTCGCAGAGCCATGGTGGTGTCCACCAGAGGAGGCCTCACCGTCGACGACAAGAGAGGAGGTGGTCATGCTAGCGGATGGGAAAGTCATCTTCTCGCCTATCACCGCCAAGGTCGTCGAGGCGCCACCAAAAACTCGTGCAACAGATCTAGCAGATACCATCAAAGCTTGAGTCGTTCCTGTCCCAGCCATCCAACAACCTACGTGATGAATCGCACAGGACACACGACAACCACAGCAAACGCAAAGCCACTAAGAGCATCTATAGGCAGGCGCTCTAAACCGTCTCAAACGCTCGGGCGGGCTAACCGGTCACAAAAAATCGACCCAGCTGGGCATCTCAAACGGGCCTTAAACATCCGGGCTGACCGGCATCCCTCATATCCAGCCCAAATATGGGGCAGATATAGGGGCACCCGGGCGCGCCCGCCATATAGGACTGGCGATGGGGTCCCACGGGGAATCGCTGGTAAACCCGGCAGTCTGACACATGACTCCTCCGTCGTCGTGGTGTGAACCCGCGTGGCGCAGCTCTAGCTTGTCGTCCGAGGCCAAATCCGACTATTTAAGCTGGCCGGCGTCCCCCAACCCTAGCCCATCCGCCTCCTCCCTCTTTGCGCTGCAACCCGAGCCCATCTACCTCCTCTCCCCCGCTCCCCCACGCTCTCTGTCATTGCCATGGTCCGGCAGAAGATCACCACGTACGTTATGCTCACATCGGAGCACCGGAGGTAGACCGCGCAGAAGATCTAGGCAAGGCGCGCCGCCTGCATCGCTGCCGGGTTGCCTCCGAACTCGCGAGAGCCGGAGGAGGAGGAGAGAGAGCAGCTGCCGAAGCCGATGGAGGTGGCGGATCCGAAGGAGGACGAGGCCGAGCAGCCTGCTCCGGGGTTCAACATGGAGGAGGCTGAGGTGGAGTTCGTCGTCGCCCAAGCCGCGAAGATGGCGAAGCAGCATGCCATCCTGGAGTCCATCCAGGATGGGGCCTATGTGGAGGCCATCCGGGAGTTCCTCTGGCAAGAGCGGGCGGCGACCGACGCGCTCTTCGCCGAACTCGATGCGGAGATAGAGGAGGAGGCCGGAGCGGAGCAGCCGGAGGAGCCGGAGCTGCTGCCTGCGATGTGCCTGGAGCCAGGCACGAAGGTAGTCGACATCTCCGATCAGAAGTAGCTAGGTGATCTACATAGTACATAGGTTTTTTCGTTTACATGCTTTTGTATGAATTTACGAACCGAATATAAGATGTCCGGATAAAGTTATGGTAATTTGAGGAGTGCCCGGACACTGCGCATGGACGCGTCCGCAGGTGTTTGAAGGGTCATATTTGTCATATGCGGTTGTAGATGCTCGAAGAGCAATTCTAGCAGACCCCTTATATCCCACCGAACTGTAAAATAACCGCGAGTTTTCAGTTTCGGGCGGAAAAAGTAGCCCGAATAGACCCCTTATACACCTTCGACCTTTAAATTTTTTTAAGGGGTGCGATAAAAAACTCCTTCCGACCCACAAAAACACAGTTTTCGCGTCTGCTTCTACGGTGCCCTGTATCAGGAGAAAGCAGTTGGCGGAAGCCCAATTGCCACGGAAACTTTCGTGTGCACCGTCCGCGTCCGCTGTCCGCGCAGCCCCGCCGTCCCTGAACGCCGGCAACCCGTCCGCGTCCGCCGTCTGCGCCGCCCCGGTCCCCCGGCCGCCCCAGCCGCGTCTCTCGCTACGGCTAGCTAGCTCTGGCTACCCCAACGGAGGAGCTAGCTAGCTCCTGGATTGGCCGCTTTGTGCGCTTCGTATTTGGTTGCCGGCGGCTTCGTATTTGACCGCTTCGTGCGCTGTCCGTCGGTTTCGCGAGAGCAAAGCTAGCTGACCATGGACACGGGCAAGAGGAAAAAGAAGACGTAGGGAAAGAATATAAGTGAATATTTCATTTAGCAGTTTAAGTTTGAGGGGTTTGTTGACCGCAGCTAAAAGCGACCCTTAAAACAAAATTTTCGCGAACTATAAACATGTTATAAGGGTCCGCGTATTAAAGGGTCTGCTACAGTTGCTCTAAGCTCCTGATCTAACACAGCCCCCTTGCCAAAACCGGATCGATCCAGTCGCAAGGTGGCAGCCCCTGCCATCATCATCATTTGCAACCGGGGCCATCACCGGGAGACGCTTAGCAAATTCAATTTGTTTTAGACCCTCTCTCCAGTTTTTATCATCTGCTTTTGTTCTGTGGAAGTATTGTTGATTTTTCCTCCTTTTGTGTTGAGGTTGAGGTTGCGTGGGTGCGTAATCAAAGTTCAGACGAAGCAGGCGGCCTTCTCTCGTGACTTACTAAAGTGAGCAGTAACAGTTTGAAGCTTAGCATTGGTTGGGCCTTATGAGCCCAGAAACTAATTTAATTTTAATTTTATAATGTGTTAAACAATAGATGGAAAAACAAAACTACGACATCGAGGACTGCAAACTACGGACAAGCTTAGTTTGCTCATCTCGGATGTTTGCAGTGCCTCTATGCCGTGGTTTCGTTAACCATCAGACCAGCTAACTCGGCCGCACCTCCTGTGGAAACTCCTCTGCGCCCTGGGACTTTTATACTGCGCGTTTGACTCATGCGCTGTGTGGCTGGGCGATGTGGGACTAAACGAATGCACTACCGCGTCATGTCCACCCGATAACCTCTGGCTCCGGGCTTCATTTGGTGCTGGGATAATCGAGATTATACTAATGACAGTGTTTCATTAGATCCATTTGTGGTGAAGTCATTACGAATAACAGTGTTGTTTCTCTAACCAAATACATGCCCGTTCTTGCCGTTTAAGGCATGTCTAATGCGGACCCTCAAATCGTCTGCATCTGATCAGACCAAGCGGTTCGGGCGTATTGTGTCATCCAACACGGTACCTCATCCGTGCGCGGATCGGTCTAGACATCTGTTTTCCTGCAAACCCGAAGCAAACTTTCACATAAGAGTCTGACACACAAGTCCCACTCAAAACCCTCTTCCGCGATATTTTCCATGGATGTGCCGCTTCCCGCGTCATGCCGGCTCAGAGCTACAGCGGCAAGTTGACGCCGCTCGATGTGACCGGACGGGAGGGTGACGCTAACTGACGCGACTAGATGGGTGACACCGCTTCAACACTGACATGTCGTCTCAAGAAACCAACTCCAGCCGCGGCGCCACATAGAAGAGGGTTGTCCATCCATTCGCCTGACCACGGCTATTTAAGCATGGCGCCGCCCACATCACACTTTCCACATCTCCATGCACCGCGCCCGCTCCTTTTTTCATCCACTCACTGGTGACATGCAACTCCTGGGCCTTGGCGCCAGTAGGCAGATCTGGATCAGGCTACGGGTCTTGGCATCGCCATCCTCACTTTTCGGAGCCCTCTCTTCCACGACGATCGGCTCCTCTGTGAAGGAGATAGTCATATCCTCCAGTGGCGAGGAGGACAAGCCGCATCAACGACGACCAGCGCAGCAGCCGCCCTCCTCTCGGAAGCCGCCACGACGACAGAGGAGTACAAAGCACATATGGAGTTGATGCTTCGGCGCTTGCTCCTCCACGACCACATCCGGCACCGCCACCAGAGCCACTTTTTCGCCGCGTCAAGGGGGAGCCGCATTTGCCTCCATGCTGATAGGTGAAGACAAGGCCTCCGCTTTTCCGCCGCGTCAAGGGGGAGCCGCATTTGCCTCCACGCTGACGGGTGAAGACAGGGCCTCCTCTCCTCCCTGCTGTCCCATGCGCAACCGTGGCCTCCAAATCGGCTTTTCCGCCGCGTCAAGGGGGAGCCGCATTTGCCTCCACGCTGACGGGTGAAGACAGGGCCTCCTCTCCTTCCTGCTGTCCCATGCGCAACCGTGGCCTCCAAATCGAACGCCCCGTGAAGTAGGAGCAGGAGTCGCCATTGCCACGCCGCATGAAGGAGGAGAAAGGAGTCGCCACCACCTAGCCGTGTTGGAGTTGCTGCCCCCTCTTACTCCCCTTGCACGCAATCACCGTGAAGGCATGCAGGCGCATCCTCCATTTACTTGACGGTGAAAGTTCGTCCTCTTAAGGCACAGGAGAGTGCGGACTCAGAAGGACTCCGATGTCTCGCCGACGCAAATCCTCAAGGACCGCTATATCCGCTTTCTCGGCAAGGAGATGCTGAAGTACAACGAAGAGTGGTCTCTGAGCAAGACCGCCGCTGCCTAGTCGTCTTTGAGCAAGCCCGCTGCCACCGCCACCGCCGCCTCCGGCAAGTCAGAGCGGACGGAGCTGTAGTACGATATCTGGGAGCTAGCAAACTGCCGCTCCGCAGATTCTAGGAGCTGATGAATTCCCGAACGGGGCCTTACATAATTTGCATATAAGAACTTTTTCTCTGTCGTTCATTCTTAACGGCTTAGAGTTGGCAGGTAGACCACGTAAACTGGATGAAACAACTGTCTGATTTGAGGGAGGATTTGCAAACGCATAAGAAATAAAAGACACAGGCCAGAGATACTTTAGACAACAGCTAAATTATTCACCCAAAAGTATCAACAGACGGCTTAACAAAGGGGAGGCACACGCACACCCCGCTACCCCAGTAATATCCAGCACTCCATTTTACCGACTAACAATAACAGCGCACCAGCACTATATCCCCATGTCCAACGTGCTGGTACAGATTACATACTGAATGACACAGATTTATTGCCACCACAAGGGGGTATGGGATTGCTCTAGCTCTCGGCGCTGACTGCATCGGCTGTGGCTTCCTTCTCTTTTACCTCCTCCGAGCTCACCTCCCTCGGCTTGTGCTCTGTGGCAGGTGCCTTCTCGGTCTCTGCCTCGGCGGTGACTGTTTCATTTGTTCCTGGGGATGTGCTTGTGGTGCCGTCTTCTGCGGGAGCTGCCTTCTTGATGGTGCCGACCTTCACATATTTGCTCATGAACTTGTATTCCCAGTCTTGCAGGGCGTCGAGCTCAAACGGCCCGAGGCCAGAGGTATCCCCGTTCAGGTCCTGGGGCTCGAAAGACATCTTGGCTAGAGCTCTGCTGGCGTCTTTGCCAGCGAATAGGGCATAAGGTCCACCAGGTCCGTAGAACATTCTGCAGAAAAAAGGTCAAAAGGATAATTAGAGATACGAACAGAAGAACAGAAGTATATGAGAGACTTGACACATTCATCATACGAATGAGAGCATGATGACAATACATGACAGTAGAGGATCCTTAACCCATGGATGACTATGCATCCATCATGAAACACGACAGATCACCTAAAAGTATCATTGGAAGTTAGGGAGTGTCCATCCATTAGTCAAGTTTTTGCTAAGGTGGATCCCACAGTGACCTCTTTCATCTAGCTATTTCTAGCCCAGCACTTGGAACATGAATTAAGAAGCTGCTACATAAATTTGGTTGCAGGTGAGCTTCAAAAATCATATGGCTTAAAACAAGCTCCAGGCATAGCATCATCCCTTAATGGGGAATCAGCCATACTGACCACTACTTTTTTTTCAAGAGTACACCAATGGCGTGCAATTTTTTTTATATATAGAAGAGAGCAAAGTAAATTTACTAGAAGCTGGAGCACGATGGGAACAACGGCTCAAGCACACCCACACATGACCACTACTTTAATCCTTAGCGGCCATACAAGGCATGGGGCCTGGTGTCCATCTTTTAGCATCTGATGATACAGATGCTCATAAATCTCGGGATGATAGATCCAAGATCTGTTATATTAATATTCCTCTCCTCCCACAAGATATGTGTGCTCCACCAGCAACCACATCTTGCATAGCAAAGGATAAAGATATGGAACCACATATCTTATAGCATTATTGAGCCTAACCATTTAACTATACATAAAAAATGCAAAGGCCAAGAAACCCCTTTAATATAATTCGTGCAGTTGTTAAGTGAAAAGTACCCAGCAGAAAGGGGCTTTGCTTACTCCAAAAGTAGTTCACCGACTATCCCAACCGGTTAAAAGTTCACTGTAAACTACCGCACCTGTCTTGATCCTACCAATCGTGAACCCCGAATTATTATGAATTGCGCAATTAGTTCATACAAATACCAGCAAATCAGTCACCTGGTGTACTACCAGCATCACATAAGATTCACACAGATACTAGTAAAACAGTAACCTGGTGTACAATAGAAGAATCGATAAGCACATCACAAAATCGGTGGATAAGAGCAACTATTACAAAGCAAACTATAGGGTTTCGGGCAGGCCGAGATACCTGCTCTGCGTGACGTCATAGATCTGACCCTTGATGGCCATCAGGAGAGGCTTCTTGGGGTCGGAACCGTCGTACTGCCGGAGCTCCTCCTCGTCGACCTCGCCCAGCTGCACGGGCGGCGGGAGCGGCTCCGCCTCTGGCTCCTCGCGCGGCCGCTGCCGGGGAGGCGGCGGCGGCGCGAAGATCCCCGACACGACGTGGTACAGCGCGGCGGCGACCGCCACGGCGGTGAAGAAGGCCGTCGGGGACAGCCCCGTGTACGCTAAGATCGCCTGCTTCAGCGTCTCCCAGAGCTCCGCCACCGCCATCGTGAAGGCTGCTAAGCTCACCTCTTCCGACGAGGGGTTTGGAGACTTCGGGGATGAGGGGCGGGGCACTCTGGTCTTTTCGCGGCCTTCGATTTCGAGAGGAGGAGGGTTTGGAAAGAAATATCGCCGAGTTTATAAGGGGCGGCGAAGGGTGGGGAGGAGAGGTTGGGTGCGTGTGTGAGAATTTCTGGTTTGGGTACCCATCAGTCAGGGACGGTGGCGGCTAGCGGAGTTCTCTAGAAGGAATCCCTTCGTATGCATATGACGAGATGAGTCGGATTAGAATCCGCTACGTTCAGAGTAGATATCCCGATCCCAGTGATTTTCTGCCTTTTATGTATGGGCGATGCTAGGCGCCGGTGCGCCGGCCGAACGTTTCGGCCGGTCCAGTCCTAGCCGTCAGATCAGCCCGTCCCGCGCCGTTGGATCCTTATCCAACCAGGTCCTCGTCTTCCTCTCGCGAGCGCGTAACGAGCGTCGTCTTCCTCTCGCGAACCCCATCTCGTCGGCTGCCCCCGCGTTCCCCCTCGTCGCCGCCCATCCCTCGCCTGCCCTTCTCGTCCCTGATCACCGTCCTCGCCGACCGTCTTTCCCGGCCGTCCTGGTCGTCGGTAGTCCTCGGCGGCCGTCCTCTTCACCGGCTTCGCCCCCATGCAAATAGCCCATCCCTGCGGTTGCAGCTTCCATGGCCACTGTTGCAGCTCCGGTGGCGACGACCGGAGCTCACCGGCGTGTTCACCGGTGTGCTCACCGGCGCTCATCCCCCGCTTGCGAACAAAAAAGATCGAGCGCCCAGGGAGATGCTCAGTGTTGCAACCTACGACGAAAAAAGCTACAGCTAGCGATAGGAAAAGCTTCAACCGGCTACGAAAAAAGCTTCAACCAGTATACGACTGGAGCTATGGATGACCAAGAAAAGTTACAACCGGTGACAGAAAAAGCTTCATCTAGCGATGAAAAAAGCTTCATCCGACTATAAAAAAAGTTTCAACCGTGGAAATGAAGCCATGGACGAAAAACAAAAAGTTGCAACCGACAGTTATAAAAGTTACAACCGCATTGAAAAAAGCTTCAAACTTCTTATCTCAGCTGCGACCCCGCGATGACGATGACGCCGTTTTGCTGCAACCGTAGTAGATTTTTGCTACCACCGACAGTTGAATTTGCTACAACCGGTTTCATCAAAAAATCGCCGTGGGGTGTAGTCTGCCATGGCTCCGGCGAAGTAGGCAGAGCTCCGATGCATGCGAGGTAGGCGTCGCCGTGGTAGCACCCCATCGCCCCCGGTTGCAGCATCTCCCGTGGTCACCGCCCCTCGGTCGCCGGCGAGATGGAATGGTCACCGTGCAGATCCATGGCAGCTTCGAGCGGGGAGGGAAGGCGCGGTGCTGCAACCAGGGGTGGGGGGGGGAAGGGAGGGGGAAGGGATGGGGAAGGGGTGGGGAAGGGGTGGGGAGGAGGGGGCAGAAGAAGAGGGCGGCGCGCGCCCCGGTGAGCTGCGCGAGATGTGCGCGGAGTGACGCGAGGAAGAGGGAGACCGGCCCAATCTTCCGCTGGTGCGCCGGCCCCAACCGTTTCCCTTTATGTATAGTATTGATTGCTAGTATTACTGATTGGATGATCATTTTAGGCTACATTAGGTCCAGCCAGAAGGAATTCATAGCCCATAACCTTAAGCAGGAGCTCCTAACGTATATGAATGGAAAGATTCCAGTTATTTTTTTCCTACCCCAATAGTAAGCATCGGAAACCTGGCTTGCACGAACCTCAAAGCAGGTGTGGTCCTGTCTCTGGAGGAACGCCGAATCGGCCTTTTTTGCGAGCCACGCGTAGCGCGCGCCTGCATTCACGTATGTCCTGCATCAAAACTAACAATGATCAGAGCAAGCAGTGATCAGCGTTATCATATCATTCCAAATTCACATGCACATGCAATGCATACTTGTGTAGTGATGTTTTTGCATTCAGGTATGTCCTACTACCATGCACATGCAATGTCCTATGTTGATCGACAAATTTGACCATTTTGACCTATGGACGAAATCAATTCACGGAATGAACTGACCGTGAAACTATTTCACAGCCCTAACCTTTTTGTGTAGCGCCCGCCACGACGGCGCCACACCCTACTGTGCAGCGCCTAGCACGGGGGCGTTGCACACTAGTCCATCGTGGCAGCCCCTGGGCCCGCACCCAGCAGTGCAACGCCTCCGTGCTAGGCGCCACACATGTAATGTGCAGCGCCCAGCCCGTAGGCGCCACACTTGTAAAGTGCAGCGCCTAGCGCGTAGGCGCTGCACTATGACTTATCCAGCCACTTGGCTAGCCCCCCCTCCCCCACCCCCACACCACACACTCTCCCACTCTCCTCCTCGAGC